AAAGACATAATACCTTTCTTTTTCCCTTCCTACTTTGTGGAACTATCTTAAAACACAACTTCCGTTAATCTTGTTTTTTATTTTTCGGTTGATTCCTGGAAGAATTTTTGAATCCATTCATTGTTTTGAAACTGCCAGGTCTGATAACACGAAATCAAATTAGCGATTTTGCAAAATAAAACATTATCATGGCTTTCTGAAGTCTCAGATTTGTTAATTAATTATAACTTGTTCTGTTTATTACATTGAGCTCTCGGGAATTATCCATATGGATTACCAATTAACTTTATCATATTATATATATATATATATATATATATATATATATATATGAGAGAGAGAGCGTCATGAGGGACACTTCCCAAACTGGTTTCTTTAATATGAAATGACCCAAATTAAAAAAATATATCATTCAATGTTAGTGCATTATTATAAAAATTGTTCAAAATCTGTTAAAATTTATGTTGTAATAATCAGAAAAGAAATTAATTCATTACAATTTGCTATTAATTCTTCAGAAAAACTTGTGCATGCCAAGGTGTTGATATGAAGAAACGCGGAGCTTCGTTCTCTTTTGGTTGCTCCTGGAGTATGTATTTCAATGGATGTAAATTTGCTCGAAGCAGAGAAGCCAAGAAGTTCCGGCTCAAAGATACGGCATTGGTAAGTCACATGAGGATTTTGTTATACAATCAAGATTGAGCTGTTTTTTTTTTTTTCTGCTTAGAGAGAAAACAAGAAAATGATTCAGTAAGAATTATTCTCTCTTCTGTCTAATAAAAGACAATGGTACTCTGCTATCTGCAGACCATTTTTGGACATTTAATTATCCTCTGACAAGAAATCATTTTATGACCAATAATTCTTCCAGAAACTAATCAGAGAATTAAAACATAAAAAAATTCTTCCAGAAACAAAACAGCAATGTAATATCAATTCTATCTGACAATGAACACTGGACTATTTTCTCACAGACAAAGAGGAGACCTGATCCTGCCATCTTTTACCTCTCAGCCACAAACATTTAGCAGGAGAAGACTTAAGTTGACAGAGATGTGGTTCTACTGTCAAATGCTGAGAATACCAAGAACAGAAGATTTGAACAGTGAAAGAGTCTTAAGGAAAACAGGAACAACAAATAAACTGATCCTTACGATCTGAAAGAAAAAGCTGAGATTTCTGCAAAATTTAATGAGGAAAAAGGAAAATTTAACACTTATGGAATGTACAGAATGCAAGAGAAGCTACGTAAAACAGTGAATAACCAATTTGTGTGAATGGATAGCAGAAGAGAGACAAAAATTATTTTGAACAAGAAAAGATAGGGATTTGTGGAGAGCCATGATCAAAAATTACTTTGAACAAGAAAAGAGAGAAAATTGTGGAGATCTAGAATAACCCACACTCTAAATAGACATGCCACATAAAAGAAGAATTCTATTTTGTAAAAATAAAATAACATAAATTGATCAGATATTAAAGATTTCTGCTTTGCCTAGATGTTAAAGCTTTTTGATTATTGCCCAGATGTCAAAGATATTAATCATTGCTTAGATATTAAACATTTTCTGCATTGATCAGATATTAAAGATTTACTTTTTGCCTAGATGTAAAAGCTTTTTTATTATTGCCCAGATGTCAAAGATATTAATCATTGCTTCAATATTAAACATTTTCTGCATTGATCAGATATTAAAGATTTCCTTTTTGCCTAGATGTAAAAGCTTTTTATTATTGACCAGATGTCAAAGATATTAATCATTGCTTAGATATTAAATATCTTCTCCATTGATCAGATATTAAAGATTTCCTTTTTGCCTAGATGTAAAAGCTTTTTTATTATTGCCCAGATGTCAAAGATATTAATCATTGCTTAGATATTAAATATCTTCTCAATTGATCAGATATTAAAGATTTCCTCTTTGCCAAGAGGTAAAAGATTTTTATTATTGTCTAGATGTTAAAGGTTTTCCCCCTTGTCCAGATGTCAAATAAGTTCAGCATTTCCTAGATATTAAATATTTACGCATTGCCCAAATTTTAAAGATGTTTTGCTTGAATTATCTGATGTGTTACCAACGATTCTTGTAAATCAAACTGATTTTATATTTTATTCAGGATGAAGTTGTTGAAAGCAAGTTTCAGAATCTTGCAACTCGATTGGCTCCCTTATACAAATCCATCGCTCCAGAGTCTTACCAGAATCAAGTGAGTTACTTTGTTAATCACAAATACACACAAAAGTGACTTTTTGGATTACAAATATATGCATTAGTAGATTATGATAATACTCAGCTCAGTTTAAAAGAGCACAATGTCAAATGGAGGTTAGAAAGATTGTATTGTGTCAGTTTTCCAAAAGGGGAGGGCTTATCTGCCTTGATATTTACTAAGCTTGGTTTTGTACTTCACAGGGGAAAATGGGAAGAAAATAGAAGTTAGGAAGATTGTATTGTGCCAGTCTTCCAAGTGGGGAGGGCCTGCATGTTTTGATATTTGCTAAGCTTAGTTTAGTACAGCACAAAGGCAGATGGGAAGCAAATATATATAATCCCTCAATTAATGTGCATACAATTAACGCATTTTCAGTCAGTGTGCTAAAATTTTTATATACCAAAATTCAAATAGTGCATACATAATACTTGATTAGTGCAGTAAAACATTCTTCAGTTTAACCATAGTAATTGACAATTGATTTTTTTATAGTTACCAATGTACAGATTTAGCCACATGAATCAAGGGATTCCTGTATAAGACATTCCATCTCAAATCAAATAATGGTCACAGTGATCCTCTCAGAAAAATCTTGCAAAATTCACAGGTGTTCTTTGATCAAATTTATTGATAAATTCAAATATGATTATATATATATGTGTGTAATTAAATTTATTTATAATATATATATATATATATATATATATATATATATATATATATATATATATATATATATATATATATATAAAATATATAAAATAAATAAATATATATATGTATAATTATTTATATATTATATGTGGTACTTATTAGAAAGCGCTCAATATCAGAGATAGAGTTAACATATGTTTATATATATGTATGAGTCCCGACGGACGACCAAGTATGTGTATGTGTCTGCATACATCGATGTTTGCGTTAGTACGATGAATGACAAAGAACGAAATTTCCCCACCACTTCCACAATAACACCAATACCATAATCTACATAAACCCAAATTTTTAAAACATTAATCAGTTTGTCTGACGATCGCTAAAGCGTGAAACCCAGGGTCACAAACTCACATCTATCCAACCAAATATATATATATATAAAGAAAGAACAGTAAGATATATAATCCGGTGTTCTTATAGATATTTTTATTTTTACAAAATATTGCTCAATGTAAATTTACAGAGCATTAATATTATAAATTAATTGATTTAAAATATGTTTTTTTTCCGCTACACAGTTCTAACCATGTTTCAAAAATGGAAGCTAAAAGCTCTGAATTTAATTTTGTAATTAAATTAAAGACATTAGTTCCATTTCATCCTCAAGCAAATTTTGGAGTAACTTTTAAAATTACTGGGTTTTAAAGACAGAAAAAATCATAATTCATGTTTCCAAGGATACAGAGAAATCCAACTCAACCAGACAAGGGGTGTCTGGGTGTTCAGTATGTCTGTATTTTGATGTATCAGTTATTAGTTACGTTTTGGTAGGGGGGTAGGGATGTATTTTTCAATGAAATCTGACATCCATTAAATGCATGTTATCTGGATTTTTTTTTTAAATTTTATTTTAGCTTCGATTTTTGAAACATGGTTAGAACTGTGTAGCAAAAAAAAATCCATATTTTAAATTAATTTAAAAATATATATATATATATATATATATATATATATATTTTTTTTTTAATAGTTATAAAATCTGAGTCTCTTGAAATTAGACTGCATTTTGCTAAATAAGACTTTCAATGGAATTCTGACATTCATACCCACAAGGATGCATACACAGATTTTTATATGGATGCACGGTGGAGTATTGGATAGTGGCTCGGATTGAGGAATTAAAGAGCCGAGTTAATTCCAGTCGAATCCATTACATTCACTTTTAGCCGCTAATTTATTTGGGAAAGGTGTGAATCCTCTTCTTCTCCCTCCAGCTATGAGTAAATAGCAGGACAGACTGGGTTCTATAGCCTTGGATGACAACTGGTCTAGGAGAAGGACAACTCTGAATTCAAAACCTGTGGAGGATCATTTGGGACCCTTGTGGCATATAGTGCACCAGGTCTCTGCATTTGGCCCATGTGGTTGGTTCTGCACAAAGCCTTCATCACTATAATTAAATCATATATGCTGGTGTTTGGGCTATCGGTTCCTAGGAATTGAGCTGCTTGATCCTCATACGTTGAATATGACAGGAGAGTCCACCATACAAATTTGTAACTTGGTGACAATAGTTTACACTGTAGATTATAAAAATGTAAAAAGCTAATGACTTAATAGATTATTTCTATACAATAATAATATTTGTTTCTCTTGTAGGAATTGCTGAATTTTTTTTTTAACATCCTTAAAATTGCCCATTTTTATTACATCAGTATTTATTTGTAAAGATTTTTTACAATTGTTGCCCCCTCCCACACACACACAGACACACCTATTTAATTTTATGAAATTTTGAGAAATTCTTTTTTGTATTGCTTAATGTCTGTATTAGTTATAAGGACTGAATTGTAAAATAAAAAATTCAATAAAATTGAAGACATTATTTAACAAGAAAAGCTTTTAATTGATTTTATGAATAAAATAATATGGACACAATAGACCGAATAATGTAAATAATATACACAACTGCCTTAAGAAAAACATCTTTTTCAACAAATAATGAATTTTTACAAGAAGTTTTTTCATTTTTTTAAAAATTTTAATTAGAATAATTTATAAACTTTTAAATCTTTTAAAATTCTGTATTAATTTCTAGCAGTCAAGTGATATTGTTTATTAAATTAAAACTGTATCTACTAATCATAAATAGAAAAGCTTATGACATTAACCCCAATATGCTAAAAAGAATTTTGAATTTATTTTTTTTTAAACATGGTAATTTTTTGCTAATACAGACATCCATACACAACATTATCAGAAAATAAGAGCAGTAATTATAGTAAATTTAAAATTTATTGGTAATTTTATAACATTTTCTCAACAAGCATCTTTGTAAGTAAAACTATAAAGCCAAAGTACCTAAAAATCAATAAAATATTAAAATGTTGAAAATATTTTAAGTTTTTATGATTTCTAGGCAGTTAAAAAAATATATATATATAAAAAAGAAATTTATATTACATTAATTATGTAATTTTTTTTAAATATGTCCCCTTTATTTAAATTTCCCAAACACGCTGTCAGTTTTTCACTCAACACATTAAAAAACACTCACTCCATCTTAAAAAATGTTTTTCTGAGATATTTTAAACTAAAAGTAAGTACCATATTTGATGGCATATAAGACGCACCCTATTTCAGCAGGGCAAATCAAGAAAAAATTAGTAAAATTATTAGTAAATGGTACAGCTTAGGTGATATTTATGAGGTATTATTTTGGTTAAACAAGCCATGGTTACAGTTAAATAAAAAAAGAGGAAAAAAAAGAACAAGAGCCTATAAAAAATTTATAGGTAAGAAAAGGTAAGAAAACAAAATAAAAATCAAGCAATTATTACAATTGAGCAAAACAATAGTTACCATTAAAATTCAGTCAAAAATTTTCCTTTATATGATCTGTACAACCTGCGTCTTGTAAACATCTTATTGGAATAATTAGGATATAAAAATTCTGATTGTATTTATACCAATGCAAACCAGAAGTTATCGCAAGAAAAATATTAATGAAACAAATATATTTTACAAATATATAATTTGAATTTATTGCATATAATTTTAGTAAAACAAAGTACTAATATTAAACGTGATGAAATTAACATAATGAATATTATCAATGATAACACTTTTAATCTGCTTAATAGCCTTTTAAATAATGACAATAGGTATATGGAAGTTACTCTAAAGTCTAAGCTAATAGGAGTTGCCAGGTAGCTAATTTCGGCCGACTATTGTGAATTTTAAACCTATATATGGCATATAAGATTCAAGTGAATTTTAAAAGATATTTTTAGTAAAAAAAAGTGCATCAAATGCTGTCAAATACAGTAATATTAGTTTCAATTCAGATTAATTAAACTTTCAATCAAGTAGTTTTTCTAAAATAAAGTTTCAGAAAAGCATATCTTATATTTGAAAGATTTTTCAATGAAGAGAATTATGTTGTGTTGACAGATCTGTCAATATGACCAATTTTAGCCATTTAAAAAAATATCATTCCAGTCAATTTAAATTTGGTTTGAAATACAGCAAAGTATTTTGCTTATGGAAATATTAAATTTAATCTATTAGTTTGGAATTAGAACTAAAATAAAAACTTTGAGAAATATTTTCCATTTTTTTAAATGCATTTTAAACTTAGGTATCATATATTTTTTGGAGGTACCTAGTTAAATTAAACGAGTCATTAATTAAATTCCTATTTTATTATTGTAGGTATTCTTTGAAGACAAAGGATATGAATGCCGCCTTGGGCATCGGACTGAAAATGATGAGAAACCATGTCGTCCTTTTTCTGGAGTAACAGCATGTGTAGATTTTTGTGCCCATGCTCATAAAGATCTACACAATATGAATAATGGTTGTACTGTGGTAAGATATTTTCATTTCACACTTGATTTACAATATTAGGACATTTTTCTTTTTCAATACTTGAAGATTTTGCTATTATTATTTTATTGTTTTAGGATTTTATCCCAATACTCTGGCGCTATACACTCTTTACTATTACTATTATTTATTACTAGTTTTATACCATCTTATTATTGTTGTGTTATGGTCCGGTTCCTTGTACCACGGTGATAGTCCAAGGTAGAACCAATAAAGAAGAACTCAAACACATGTATGGAATAACACAGATATATTACAAACAGGAATATATACAGACAGGTAGAAAGTGTTAGTATGAACAATCAGGTTTAGTAGTAACTAGCAGTAGAGGCCTGGCATTGCTCAGGGATGTAACAGTAAGAGATAGATCAAGTATCGACCATCATAAAGATTGAAAGATAAAATTGACAAAGATTATTGTTTAAGGTTGACGGACACGCATGTCTTAATTAGTTTTTTTTTTGTTTGTTTTTTTTTTTTACAAATTGGTCAAACCCAAACTAAAACAAAAGCATTGTTTTCAATCGTTATGAGTCTACCAATTGAATACAATTTTATTATAAACAATTGTCTTGTAAATGGAATTTTTAAAGTATTCTGAATGTAAAAATAAAGAAAAAAGTGTGCAAGACAATAAGAAACACTACCTGCCAAAAAAAAGTGAAGTTTTGTTGAAATTGGTTGAAAAATGTAGGAAATACGATCCCATATATAAACGGATGCACACACACGCACACACAACCTGGGTTTTATAATGAGTATACCTCGATATGAGTTGTCCCCTTTCAATCTCATATTTTCAAATTGATTTCATGCAAAAACAATTGTGTTTTTCCAATTTTTGGCGCTGTCAGAACTAATAAAAGGTAATTTACGTAGTCCTGTGAAGTTTTGTTGAAATCGGTTGAAAATGTAGGAAATCCCATCCAATATATAAACATACAGACACACACACACACACACACACACACACACACACAAACTGGGTTTTATAATAAGTAAGATTGTCTGAACATGACTCTGTTTCGGTCTGCCTCTGACTTGACTGACTCGCTCTGACTGACTCCTGACGGACTTCACTCCAGACTTCAGACTGAACAGTATTTAGTCACCCCCCCACCAGGGCATCATGGGCACAAACTTTATTTTTTTGGGATCTCGAGCCCATGGGCTGTCTTTAAAAAAAATATGCCCTTTGAACCCGTATAAACGGGTTCAGGGTCGGTTTAACTCCCCAAAAGAGACTCCACCCTTCGGCGTAGCCTCAATCGGGTTCCTCCCCGCCCGAAGACAGAGAGTTCAGCCAGTCAGCCGAATTCGGACTGAACTCTTCCTCTTGAGGCGCAGTATTTATTATATATGGAATAGTCCATTATGTTATTATGGGTAAGGTCCACTAGCAATTTCACACTTGATTTAAAATATTAGGACATTTTTCTTTTTCAATACTTGAAGATTTTGCTATTATTATTTTATTGTTTTAGGATTTTATCCCAATACTCTGGCGCTATACACTCTTTACTATTACTATTATTTTATTACTAGTTTGATGCCATCTTATTATTGTTGCTTTTTACTCCAACACTCTGGATCGATACACTTTTGTTGTTGGAACACACCTATTCTATAGTTAATAGACTCTCCCACCTATAATAAGTAGTAGTAGTAGTAGTAATGAGTCAGTCGCGGAGTTGGTCAGTTAGTTGATGTCGGACGACCTTTAATCGGATATTAAAGTATCAGCCACCACAACTAGATTACTGCATCATTACCTATTATATCAAGTTCCTAACGTTTTGTACGTCAAACCTATTTTAGGACCGACTTAGTGAAATACAAGCCTCCACTGTGAAACTACTCTACAACAACTTTTCACTATTACTATTATTTTATTATTAGTTTTATTCCATCTTGTTATTGTTGCTTTTTACCTCAACAATATGAGTTCCCATACGATCGCTGAACTTAAGTAATGTTGAACCTGGTCAATACCTAGATTGGTGGCCACTTGAGAATACCAGGTGCTGTAAGCTTGGATGTGCAGGTGGTGTAATGGATAATGGCTCAGAATTAGAAATCAGAGAGCAGAATTCCAATTCTCGTTAATTTCGTTATATTCACTTACATGCAAATACTCTTGGGAAAGGTATGAATACATCTCATCTCCCCCAGCTATGGGTTAATTAGTAAGACTTGTATCACTGAACCATTAAAAATATTTTCTGGCTTTAAATAACCTGCAAATGGTTGATAAGCCGTAGGAAATGGATGAATCAAGCAAGCAATTAACACTATGGATTGATACACTCTTCATTATTACTATTATTCTATTACTAGTTTAACTCCATCTTATTATTGGTGCTTTTTATCTCATTACTCTGGCGCTATACACTCTTCATTATTACTATTATTTTATTACTCATTTTACTCTATTGTATTGTTGCTTTTTATTTCAACACTCTGTGGTCAATAGATTCTTCATCATACTTATTATAAAACCCAGGTTGTGTGTGTGTGTCTGTACATTTATATATTGGATTGGATTTCCTACATTTTCAACCGATTTCAACAAAACTTCACAGGACTACGTAAAATTACCTTTATGTGGTTGTGACAGCACAAAAAAATTGGAAAACCACAATTGTTTTTGCAGGAAATCAATTTGAAAACACAATTAAGAGGCATCGCAAGAATGAAAGGGTCACAACTCATATCGAGTTATACTTATTATAAAACCCAGGTTGTTTGTGTGTTCGTTTATATATGGGATCGGATTTTCTACATTTTTAAACCGATTTCAACAAAACTTCACTTTTTCTTTTGGCAGGTAGTGTTTTTATTGTCTTGCACTTTTTTTTTATTTTTACATTCAGAATACTTTTAAAAATTCCATTTACAAGACAATTGTTTATAATAAAATTCTATTCAATCGGTAAACTCATAACGATTGAAAACAATGTTTTTGTTTGAGTTTGGGTTTGACCAATTTAAAAAAAAAAAAAAAACTAATTAAGACATGCGTGTCCGTCAACCTTAAACAATAATCTTTGTCAATTTTATTTTTCAGTCTTTATGATGGTTGATACTTGATCTATCTCTTACTGTTACATCACCGGGCAACGCCAGGCTCTACTGCTAGTTATTACTATTAGGTTGCCACACATGAAATGACATATTTTTTGGATGGTTGTTGATCCTGTCATCTAATGAAGTAATTTCCTTCATATATAAAAAAAATCTTGACTTATTCCTCACTCTTTTTTTTTCCAGATAATTTTTCTTTCAATATATTGTTACTAACAAACCCAATGTAAATGATTCCAATGAAACAATGTCGAGTAATCTTACTGTATGAGTACAAAACCATTTTTGCATTGAATCATTAAATGCAATAAGAAATGGATGCTCTTTGACAATATTAAGAGAGTAGGCCAGTGGTTAGATGTAAGTTAATCACAAAAACCTCCACTGCACCCTAAAAAGTTAATGTTTACTGTATGGTGGTCTTTCAAAGGGGTTATTCATTATTGATTCTTGCTTCAAGAGAAAACAATAACAGCAACTTTGTATTGTGGAGAAATTGAGTGCATGCATGAAAAACTGAAAAAGAAACATCCTAGATTTGTGAATAGGGATTGCCCAATTTTGCTGCATGACAACGCACGGTCGCACACTTCTCAGTCTACTGTCCAAAAACTGCATAGCCTGAATTATGAAATTTTACCTCATCCTCCATATTCACTCGATATCTCTTCTACTGATTATCAGTGATTTAAACATTTTGAGCTTTTCATACACAATAAAATATTCTCTTATAAGGAAGTTGTAATCGAAGCATTTGAACTGTTTATCACATCAAAGGATGAGAATTTTTTAAAGATAAGATCAAGAATTTAAAGGTATTTTGGAGAACAGTCATTCATCAACATAGTTATTTAACATTTCAGAAGCATTTTATTAATTTCCTATAAAGTGCGTCATTTCATGTCTAACAACCTAATGTTATTTTTTTTTATTAGTTTTACTCCATCTTATTGTTTTCCATTTTTATCCTAAAATTTTGCATTCATTAGCAATTGTCGAAGGTTAAATTACCTAAGCATTGTGATAAAAAGCAACAACAAGGAAAGGGAACCTCATAAAAAATGATTGATAATAACTGTTTCATATTGCAAACTTGGACATCTTCAGATGCTTACATCTCGGAAAGAAACAATGGTGTGGAGAAAATCAAAAAAAGGGAGGCCGTATCAGTGGCGTAGCTAGAGTAAACGTCACCCAGGGCGGTCCGCTCAAATGTCATCCCAATGACCCCGATTCACCCTATGCTGAATGGTTAGCTGTAGCTAAATTTTCATACATGCTCTACCTCTACTTTACTCTACTGACCAGTACGTTACTGTTTACATGTATGATCCAAGACAAAATCCAATACCACAAAATAATCAGTTCAAATCAAAAGATTTTTAAAATGCAACTGTTCACTTTCAGAACAACTAAATACAAAACACGGCAATACACAAAAGAATGACATTCAATACTATGGTCTTAGAATTAATGTTTTCTTGTTTTCATTGTGGCAAACTGGTCAATGACATCGTCAAAATCTGTTTGTCTTGTAAGCTCGTTTTCAATGGACAGCACAGCCAGATTCAACAGTCTAGACTGGCTTATGGTTGACGTAATTTTCTGTTGCTAATTTTCCGGTGTCCAATTTTCTGTTGCATCATTTTCTGGGTACCATTTAATTATCACTGATGTTTGAAAGTATTTTTCTTGACAAAAATGTTCTATTTAATTTTTAAGCATTTTTCGGAACATTGTAAATCAACTGCATTCTTTTAAAGATTACCTTGAGAATTTATGCAAAAGTTTATTTTTTTGTTTTTCTTTATACAAGTAAAATAAATTTACATCGTATTTTGATGTTATGATTTTAGTTCTAGTGATAATTTAAAAACAATAAATATTTATCATTAGTACCAATATTGGAAAATTAAGTTAAAAATTTAAAAGAATTGTTTTTGGAATCGGAAAATAGGCGCAAATTTTTCCAATTCCGATACCATTTCCGATACCCCCAAAAAGTTCTGATTTTCGATACCAATTAATCGTCCCAACACTAGTAGATATATTCAAAAGTATATTGCTCACTCAATGGAAAATTGTATCTCAGCAAATTGATACACAGGCAAGACTGAAATTGTTGTACTTTTGGCTTCGTATTTCGCTTTGTTGTTATTAATGATGCAGAGTTAAAACACCATATCACCCGATAACATGTTACAACAATGTCTCTTGTTAGTAACCAAGATTGTAGCAACTGAAACACATGAAAGCTGAAAACATTGCTATCTTTCCTACTCACAAATTTCCTGACAATTTATTAGAAAATTTCTGACGGGGGGGGACAAAACTGGGGGTCATAAATTATTTCTGGGGGGTCATATGCCCGCCTGCGAAACCCTGTGTCTCCAACACTGTTTTCAGACTATTTTTGGCACCTTAGCCTGGTTGAAAAATTTTGTTGCGGGGTGACCTTGTGTCACCCCTCCTGTGCTGGCACCCGGGGCGGTCTGCCCCCCTCACTCACCCTTAGCTACGCCACTGGGCTGTATGACTGAATCTGAATAATGCTTGATGGTTAGAGTAAAGAATAATAAGTATTTGAAATGCTTTATCTTGAAAAGCCAATTCATCTTTCTTTCTTTCTTTTGTGTTTTAGGTTGTGACCTTAACAAAACATGGCCCGTTGGAAAGACCAGATGAAGAACAGCTGCACGTGTTACCTTTGTATATATTAGACGCCAAGAATGATTCATTAGAAGAAAAGCTAAAAAATGGATGCGTAGAGATCTTAGCTAACTATCCAAAGGTTGCTCGAATACGGGCAACTCCGGTCACTCCAAAACGTAAGGGAAGAAATGCCAAAAAAGATAGCCCTTCTAATAAAAAAGAAAATGCATTAGCATCAAAATTGTTAAATCGGAAAGGTTCTTCTTCTTATATGCAAGCACAAGTGGCTAGAAATTCTACTCCTGTTTTTTCTGACAAGTTTCCAAAAGCCACAAATATCTCAGGGTTCAATAATAATATGGTAACTAAAGCTAACTTATTTCAAAATGCAGGGGAGAAGAATATGCAACAGGCTTCGTCCAAGGGGGAGGTAACACCCGCCATTAGTGGCGGCACTCTGACAAACAAACCTTCAGAAACACAGAAACAGCCTCCACTGCCAGCCAATTCTAACATGTACGATAAATTTTGGAAATACTTTTATTCGTATGGTACATTCCCTCCAGCCAACTTTCTTAAGGACGGTAATTCTGCTGAGTCTATGAAATTCTTTGCGAGCCACCTTTCCGATGGCAAACCTGTATTTGCACCTCCAGATACCCTGCTTCCATATCCTGCAAGCGATCCAAGGAAGGACATGTCAGGCAACGTTCTTGCGAGACCTGGATCAGCCTGTAGCGTCCCGCTTAACACTTCCAACATGAAAGACATCAAATGCCCTTATTCTGTGTCGAGTCTGACGTCGGATGATTTTGAGTCACCACTGCATCTTTTGTCCGAAGCGGTCATGATCAGAAGTCAAACAAGTGTTGAAAAACCACGCTCAGCAGCCTCGCACCCGCAAGCAGGAACCAATGTGTCCACTCCAAGGAAGCCTGTACCCAATACGGATCTCTCATCCTCAATGGGAGTTGCCAGCAAAAGTGGGGTTAGTCTTGGAGCTGGAAGTAAGCTGCCCTCTCATCTTGCAAACCAAGCTTTCCCTAATGCCAAGGTACCTGTAGAATTATCCAAAGACCAACATTCCAGATTCTCATCCCTTAATTCTAATTTTGATAGGAGAAATATTTTTGATAAAGACAAATTATGCCAAACTAGTATTGCCTCTTGCCCGTTAAAAACATCCAAGCAAACTTCATCACAGGCACCTTTTACAATGGAAACGGAATCACAAGCCGATTGTCCTGGTGAATGTATGCGTGACTCTCAGACTGAAGTCATCAGTGCAGAGCTTGAGTATAATGAACAGAGCTTTAGTGACCCTGAGATTGGTGGAGTGGCCATTGCACTCACGCATGGCTCAGTGTTGTTTGAAGTTGCCAAGAGAGAATTACATGCTACTACGGCCCTTCTTAATCCAAACAGATATTCGCCAACAAGGATTAGCCTTGTGTTTTATCAGCATAAAAGCATGAACCTACGTTACCATGGGTGGTATGAAAATGAACGCAAGTTGGAACTGCAAAGACAGAAGAGGCTGCAGAAAATGCAAGAGGAGGCCGAGAAGAACCAACCAGTTGCAGACTCTGAGCTCAAACCAGGAAGCAGGAAACGAAGGAAGAAGGAAGAGCAGCCAGTGGTGAAATGCGTTCCAAAATACAAGTCAATGTGGCAAGCGGCCATTAAACACACCATCACACAATCCACAGACACAATTATCACACAGTGGATTGATCCACAACCAACAGTCACTGGTCCTTACCAGAAATGGATTTGACGAAAACCCTTCCATTTAATAACTTTATAAATTCATATAGATCAGTATCATTAAAAAAACAAAAAAGAGAAATTCATTTCAGAATACATATATATATATATATATATATATATATATATATATATATATATATAAGTGTGTATCAGTGTGTATATGTATTTTGTTTTATCAGTTGTTTTTTTTCATAATCACTCAAATCGGATTTTTTCTTTATTTTTACATCGACCGTTTTTAATCAATTTATTTACCTCTGCCCTCGAAAAATGTAATTTATTTATTTTTACCATTTTTGGATTCTTCTTCTCCCCCCTCCCCCCACTCTTTTTTTAGTTTTTCAAGAAATGTTTTGTTCAGTCATTTCTCCTCTTGCAATATACAACCTTTCTCTCTTTTGTAAAATACATTTTATTTATCAATTTGAATCTATATGATAAATTTTGAATGTATGGACAGTATATTCCGGTTAACTGGGACACAACAAGAATCATCAAACGGTTACCCCCCCCCATCATTGGTTATGTAAGCAACACCCATCAAATACTTAGTTATTTTACATGACACACACATAAATGCGATGTGATTTTTAGTTATAGGCTCAAAACAAAAACATATTCAGAAAACATTTCAGCAACGTTTAACCATCGGACCCACAAAAAAAAAAACAGTCAGTGTGACAAAAAGGATAGTTTTTCGTGTTTGACACCTTCTAATATTGCCTACTCCTCCCACCACCCTCTTCTCAGCAACATTTATTGCTTTAAAAAACTATGTTTAGAATTTTAATAACAGCAAAAATGTTACAAATTATTATAGTTGTTAGATTGTTTACTTACAAGACTTATTTTATATTTACAAGATTATAAAAGTATATGAATCAACTACAATGTGATATATATATATATATATATATATATATATATATATATATATATATATATAGTTGACTCTCCCGTCGAATTTGATTATGAGGGTCAAGCAGATCAGTTCCCAGGAAACCGACAGCCCGACTTTTCGACACATGAGATTTGATTATAGTGGTGAAGGTTTCAGTGCAGGACCATCCACACTTTTGAAGGGCGAATACAGAGACCTGGTGCACTAAGTGACACAAGGTCCCCAAACGACCCTCCATGAGGTTTTAAATTCAGAGTTGTCCTTCTCCTAAACCAGTTGCCATCCAAGGCTATAGAACCCAGACTGTCTTGCTATTTACCCATAGCTAGAGGGAGAAGAAGAGGATTCATACCTTTCCCAAGGGTATTAGTAGCGTAAGTGAATGTAATGGATTCGACTGAAATTGAACCGGCTCTCCGATTCCTCAATCCAAGCCGCTATCCATTACTCCACTGTGCCTCCTATATATATATATATATATATATATATATATATATATATATATATATATATATATATATAACATATATGGTGCGATGAATAAGTAGTCATCTAAAGGACACAAAAATGAAAATAACACTGACATCTCATTTTAACAGATATATTTACCAAAATTACTCAAAAATATCTTGAAATCCTAAAGAGTAAATTTATTCAATAAAATCGCCATTGGCTTCAACTATGGCCTCCAGGCAACTTCAGAATCTCCTGAAACTCTTCTGGATGGTCTCCTTGTTTAAGTTGATGAATGCTGCCATAATCCTTGCCTTCAGTTCATCTTTGGTGTTACAAGGAGTTCTTTTGATCTCTTGCTCAACTGCGCCCCACACATAATAATCAAGGGGATTGCAGACTGGGGAGTTAGATGGCCAGATGTAATGGTTGATGTGGTCGCAGAAATTGTCTGACAGCCATAATTGTGTTCTCCTGCTTGTGTGGCATAGTGCAGTGTCCTGTTACCAGACCTAGTGTCTTCCAGCAGCCACCCTCTTGAGCCATGGTAGCACTACCTCCTCAAGGCATTTGATTTAGACCACCATGTTGAGTCTGAGGCCCTGTGGGAAAATGAATAGAGGCATACTGTTGCCATCACTAGTGATCACTCCAAATACTTTCGTAATCACCATTAGACTCAAGCAACTCTTTCCAAATCATTTGCACTGTTGTCAGATTGACACCAAAACACTCTGAAATATTCATATTGGCACTGCCAAGCAGTAGAGCATGTCATTTCCAAATTTATGGTGGAGTGAATTGCATCATGGTGTTCTTTTTCTCACAGACAGTGCCCAACTGTGCCTATTATAGAGTGCTGAAAAAATCAAAAACAAACAACATGCTGTCGTGAAATTAAAATGTAAAATAGCAACATTGCACCCTATATATATATATATATATATATATATATATATAATTAATTGATTTAAAATATGTTTTTTCCGCTACACATGTAGCAGAAAAACCATATTTTAAATCAATTAATTTATAATATTATTAATGCTCTGTAATTTTACATTGAGCACTATTTTGTAAAAATAAAAATATCTATAAGAACACCGGATTATATATCTTACTGTTCTTTTCTTTTTTTTTTATATATACACACACATATATATATATATATATATATATATATATATATATATATATATATATATATATCATTTCACTCCAATGAGGCAATAAAGCCATTAAGGTGCAAGGGGGGCTACTGAGTGTGAGAAAATATGGAGAAAAAAAAAAAACATTATTAAGGAGAGAGAAAAATAAAAGAACAGAAATTAAAAAGACAGAAGATAACAATTGACATTGCATTTAAATTTTTGAAGATCAAATTTGACTGGGAAGCAGGAAGCTGGAAGAGAGTTCCACAAGTGAGAAGTGCGATAGAAGAAATTGTTAGCATAGAGCTTATGCTTACATCTAACCATTTTCAATTGTAAAATGATGAGGCCTAACTGCCAATCTAGTACTGCACTTAAATTTATAAAGTCTAGGTACTATAAAAGAAAGTTCATCAGAACAATTACCATGAAAATATTTATAGAAAAGGAACTGGAAGGCTATTATATATTATTTATTATAGAAGAAAAAAATTAGATTGAACATAATTTTCTTGAACGTAATACATTTTCTTCAAAGATTATTTTATATCTTGGATTACTTCTTGTTTTAATTTTCCATTCTTTTTTATTTTTATAATTATGTTCTGAAAGTAAGGATGCCTAATCTCAAGAAATACTCAGTAAAAATTACAGACATTCTGTAATTATACACAAGGAAAACCTTGTTCACCCAATAAGAAGATACATGCTGAAAATGTTTGTGGTCTTACTTAAAATCTAGAAACAATATTCAGTTCACAGTTTTAATACTTTTAGATTTTATAATTTTAATAAATTTACTAATAAAAAAAAATTGTTTTTATACTTCTTTCTTTATAAAATAGATAATGATAAATATTGCATTGTAGTTGGTCCACATATTTTTATAAAGTTGTAAATAAACACTATTTACATTATTATCTGACGAAGGCCAGTGCGTACATCGGCTGAAACGTTGTGATAAATATGGCAACAAAGATGAGGACAATAGTTCAAATAATGTAAATAGTGTACATAATACATCATCTCAGAAATATAGATAGATACTGTAATTAAACTATCTAACAACTAAATAGTGTGTAACATTTTTGCTGTTTGTCAAATTCTAAACATAGCATTTTAAAACAAACATTGCTGAGGGAGTCAAGAGAGTATACAGTAATTGTTTTGTCATAAGAAAAACTGTTTCTTTGATACACAATTTTTTTTTTCAGCTTCGAAGGTTAACTTTGCCAAAGACTTGGAGGGTGGGGAATGTGAAAAATACCTATTTTTTTCATTTTTAAAACTTTTCATGAGGCCACATTTTGTCTGTGTGTACCTTATCTTACATCAGTAGAACAAAACAGTCCACATTATTAACATGTAATGAATATTTACCAGAATTTTATATACTTACTAACAAATGGCATTTACAACATTATAGTAATATTTAATTTGCATAAATTTAAAAAGTATATTTTAATGGATATTTCTACTGTGTTATTTGTTTTTAATTCAAATTTTTTAAATTGCCATATATAAACAATGTTTATGTTGATATTTTTTAAAAATTAATTGTGTTTGTAAGAAAAAATTTATATCTGCATTCAGAATATAATTTAGAAAACCTTCAGTGTTCATAATAAGCATTATTGTCATCTGCTATTACAAATTAGTTAAATGGAGCTGAAAAGATTTTACAGAATTATTTAACTCAAAATATTCTATTTAATTAGATCTCCTTAAAACTACCAAATTATTTAAACAAGCAAAAAAGCTTGTTAAGATAATGCTGTAGAGAGTCTACAGGATTATCTTAACAGTCTACACTGTAGTGTAGACTGTTCACAAGAAAAACCCAAAAGACACTGCCTGACTGAGACTAACAACCAACCATCACTTTGGTTTGTTCACCTTGACCCGTTTAAATGGCTTGGTGGCCGAACGATTATAAATATATTTTTGTTTTTCAAAATTTGGCTCAAATAAATGGAGGCCTTGATTAATCGTTGGCCCAATTATCCGGAATCTGCTGTATCTCGCTAAGTTTGATGTCATTCAAAGAAGAGTTATCCTCCTTGAAATTCTGATGTACACTCAAATGTTTTGTTGTTTTGTTTTTTTTTGTTGTTTTTTTCCTCTCCCTTATTTATTTATTTTTACGTATAGATCCTGCCCCACAATCTTTAAAATATATATTTACCACGTATTTTCTGCCACTCGCACACAAAACCTTTAGCATATTTATATGAAGTGATAGATTTTGTTGGATTTAGATTAGCTGAGGCCAGAATTTAAAAAGTTCTTCAGAAAATTTGGACATTTTTTGAGACTCCAAGCACATTTTTTGGAGTCTCTAACCAGGTGTAGTTTCTTTTCATAGCATGTGTCTAAAAATTCCGTGACGTATCAGAGATTTCAACGATTTTCCCAACCCACCAACAAACTGGTGACGTCTGATTTCTTCTCCCTCATCGCCCATCTCCCAATTTGAATTGGTTGGGACTTGGAGTGTTTTTT